AGTGAACTTCGTGAAAAAAGGAAGATAATACAATAATACTTCAATCTTTCTCTCCTGTGCCTATAAAGAAGTCCTCATTTGACTCTGCTGTCCCCTCCAAATATCATCCTATAGCACTACTCACTTCATAGCAAAACAGAAAAGCTATCTACACTTGAAACTTCCACTTTCTCTCCTCTCATTTCTCAACCCTCTGCAATATAGCTTCCAGCCTCATCACTGGACTGAAAGAAACTCTTCTCTCCAAAGTCAGCAATGACATCCTAACTGTCAAATCTTGTGGCTTCTTCTTAATCCTTCTTAACTGCTCTGCTTCATTTAACACTATGACCACACTCTCATCCTACATACTCTCATCCTCGCTGGTGTGTGTGTGTGTGTGTGTGTGTGTGTGTGTGTGAGAGACACTGCTCTCTCCCTCTTGGTTCTCCTCCTACCTTTCTGACTGCTCTTTCTCCTTTGCTGGATCTTCATTCATATCTGGTGAGGATACCCTAAGACTCTGCCCTAGTTCCCTAATCTTCTCTTTATACTTGGTGATCTTACCAGATCTCATGGATTCAATTATCATATCTGTGCAGATGATTCCCAAATTTGTATATCTAGACCTAATCCCTCTCCTAGCCTCCAATCCCATACCACCAGATGCCCACTGGACATTTCTACTAGAATCACAAATTCAACATGTCTAAAATGGAATTCATTTATCTTCTCCTGCCACCTCCCCACAGACCTCCCTATTTCTATTCAGAGCAATAATGTCCTTCTAGCCCCATAAGTTTGCAGCCTAGCAATCTTCAACTCGAAAAATTGTAGATGTAGAGTTGGAGGGGACTCTCAGAAATCATCTAGTCCAATATTTCATTTTATGGATTAAGCACCTGAGATCCAGAGAAGTTAAGCGACTTGCCCAAGGTCTCACAGGTAAGAGGCAAAGCCACAATTTTAGTCCTCTGACTCCAAATCCAGCCTTCTTTCCATAGGACCATGCTGCCACCTCTCACATACCCACACAGTTGTCAAGTCTTGTCAGCTCTGCCTCCACAACATCTGCTGAATCTTTGGCTTCCTCTATACTCACTTAGTACCACCCTATCTCAGGCCCTCAAAACTTGTAATTTGGATTAGGGCAATAATCTTACAATGGTTCTCCCTGTATCCAGTCTCTCCCCTCTACTTCCTAGCCTTCACGGGGCTAACGAAGTGATTTTCCTAAACCACTGGTCTAACCCTATCACTCCCCTGCTCAATAAACTCAAATGATTCCCTACTGCCTTTAGAATCAAGTACAAACTTCTCCATTTTGTTATTTAAAGTCCATCTCAATTTGGCTCCAACCAACCTTTCCAGACTTACTGCACATTTTTCATTCCCTTCACACCCAGGAGAATCCAGTCAAACTGGCCTTCTTCCTGTTTTTCTCATGCTGTACTACCTTCTGTCTCCATGCCTCTGCAGAGGCTTTCCTCCATTCTTGAAACACATGCCCTCCTCATTCCCACCTGTTAGCATTCCTAGTTTCTTTCAAAGCTCAAGTCAAGCATAACCTTTAATATGAAACCTTTCTTGATCCCTCTCAGATGCTAATAACTCCTCGGGGAACCAAAACTACCTTGTATATACTTACATATCTACATTTTGTCTCCCTTGACAGGCTGGAAGCTCTTGAGGTAAAAGCCTTTCATTTTTATCTTTGCATTCCTCAACCATGTGTTCTTAACCATTTTTGTGTCATGGACACCTATGTAATCTGATGAAATCTATGCACTCCCTTCTCAGAATGATGTCTATAAATGCATAAAACATGCAGGGTTACCAAGGAAAGAAATTATATTGAAATGCATAGTTATCAAAATATTGAAAGCTCCAGGGTTCACAGCCCCCTAGTTAACAACCCCTGACTTGACAGTGCTTGGAATACAAGAGGGACTTACTTGCTGACTGAAAAAGTAACTGAGAGTTCAAGTAAACTAGTCCCAGATGAATTATACTGCAGCTACTAAAATAATTTCCAGATACGACTGATAAACCAGGGCTACTTATCTTTGAAGAGTCCTACAGAATGACAAAAATGCCACAGGATTTGAAATAGGCAGATGTCTGAATTTTCAAAAGGAAAAAGATGAAGATATTGCAATCTGTATGCCAAAGAACTTGACCTTCATCACTGGGAAAATTCCAGATTTCATTATTAAACAAGATGGTTCATGAAAAGTTGGAGGAATGGAGATAATGAAGAACTAGTATGAGTTCATCTTATAAGTCATGCCAAACTAACCTCATTTCTTATTTTAAGAGGCTTGCCAACTAGAACAAGTTGGTAGGTCAGGGGAATGTCACAGACAGAATACCTGGATTTTCAGAGAGGCATTTGACAAAGTCTCTTACTATAGCCTTATGGATAATGTGCACAGAGAAAAGTGCACTGAATATTACAGCATGGTGGATTCACCCAGCACCTAGCATGGTGCCTTGTACACAGTAGTCATTTAATAAGAAGTTTTTGTGTGGTTGCTGAATAACTGACTGAATGACTAAAACCAAAGAATGTTGATTAATGGATGGATGTTAACCTGGATGGACTTTTTTTTTAGTGGTAGAAAGCTCCTGCTCTGGGGCCTGAAGAAAAACATATATGGTACATTTATCAAATCTAAAGATTTAACAAAGTGAGGTGAGGGAAGAAAGGGTGAGGGATGCAACTATTAGATTGGATGACTGAATCAGCATGTAAAAAGTTTAGCTGGCGAGAACAGTAGGTCCAATCTAACAAGATGGAATTTAACTGGTATAAATGAAAAATCCTACACTTGGATTTTTAAAAAAATCAATGATATATGAAGTACAGATTGGGGCAGAGATACAGGTCAGGAAAAAGACTCAGGTTAATTAGCTCAATGAATAAAGAGTGTTACAGTTATCCAAAAAGACAGTGCAATCATAGGCATAACTAAGAGAAGTATCACATGAGAATTTTAAATTTTAAGAAAAGATATCAGCAAATTGGAGCATCTAAGGAGGAAGATAACCAGGAAACTGAAGGGATAGGAAATCTTGTCATTGGAGAAGCTCTAAACAAAAGCAGAATTATGGCTAACATTTACATATAGTGATTTAAAGCTTATAAAGCATATACACACATGCATACACACACACACATACATATATATTTTCATTTGCTCTTCCAAATAAACCTATGAGTCAAGCACTATTATTATCCCCCACTTTACAGATCAAGAAACTGAGGATCAGAGATGTTAAGTGACCAACTCAGGGTCATAAAACTATTAAATGTCTGAGGCAAAATCCAAACCTAGATCTTCCTGACCCCATGTCCAGGATTCTACAGCTATTCTGCTACACTGCATAGATGCCTAAATGATAATTTATTATGGATTTCATAAAAGAAATCCACAATAACATCATGAAAGTGTTTTGCTAGAAACTGAAACTTAATGTAGTAACTTCAGATGCCAATATGTACAATCTCAATGAAGCATTTTATCAATAGCATTCCTCACTTCCTGCTGGCAAGAAGAGAGCCAGATATTTATGATATAGCCTCTACTTGACAAACACTCCATCATCCTTCCTTTCTGTATCACCCAAAGTTTTCTAGTGTCAAAAAATGCTAACAGAAGAATAGCCTACTAAAGGGCAGTAATAATAACTTAAATCAGATGAGATTTTACCTACTATAAGAAGCAGCAGGATATAATGAAAGACCATTACTAGCTTTGGAGTCAGAGACCTGGCTTCAAATCCTGCCTATCACTATCTGTGTTATATTAGGCAGGTCAATTTTCTTATCTATAACATAAGGGGGCTGGACTAAATTAGATGCCTTAAAGGTCCCTTCTAGCTCTAAATCTATCATCCTAAAGGTTTTTTTAAAAAAGGCTATATTATGAAACCATACCATTTAAGATTTCTAGATCCCAATCAAAAGCCCATTTACTTTAAGCATGTTATTTAACACTACAAAAGAATACAGACAGCTCCTTAAGAGTCCATTATAATAGAGGACCTGTATAAATAAACATCAAGAGAGAGTAACAGTGACATTACCTCCAAGATTGGGGGTGGGAGGTGGGGTTAAGGAGGAGTTTGATCCAAATTTTTTATTTCACTGACTTGGGGAGTTCCCAGTGAAGGAATCCTCTCCACCAATGCAGATAAGCTACCCCTGTGCAACTTAAGAGACTTGATGAGTTAGCTGACTATGTGACTGAATATCAGTATAATTATCCCCGCCACCCGGCAGGGGTGAGGGAGGGCGGCACCTCTGCAATCTAGAAAATCTTCGTAAAATGTTTTGGCCCTCCCTTCATACCAGAGAAGAAGTCTGAGTGAAGTTTTTGTTTTTCTTTTATGGGGTGTTCACAGTACCATATCGTAAAATTTGGGTTAAGTATTTGGTCATAGGCTTTGTGTCATCCGTTGGTTTTCATGTGTCCTCTGCAGCTTCCACAAAACTCCCCAAAAATTCCCATTTAATTTCTAATGCCAACTCACGATATATTGAAATTATGATGGGTAAAGTCACTATGTGGAACGGAAAACTGTATTTAAGAAGTGCCTATTATGTTCAAGGCATGTAATAAGTGCTGAGGAGCACAAAGATTAAAACAATTCTTATTCTTAAGATGCTTATTTCTATCAGAGAAAACAATCTATACATTTATAAGTACATACTGAATAACTTAAGAGAGGTTAAATGACTTGCCCAGGGTTACAAGGTCAATGTGCGTCAGAGGCTGGACTTGAGCCCAGGTCATCAGAACTCCAAGACCATTTCTCTGTCCGTTATACCACATGGTCTCTCTTACATTTAAAGGAAACAACAACAACAACAACAACAACACACACACACACACACACACACACACACACACACACACACAAAACCCCATTCTGCACCAGACATAAAACATTCTTAAAAAACAAAAAATCAGTTCTCAATTTTCTCCGCTACATTCCCTCTGCTTTCATTAACTTACCATATCCATCATGTCTAAAGGACGAAGGATGTTCTCCCAAAATGGCTTGTCTCTGACGACCCTTTCCTCTATCTAACACAGAAGTAGAAAAGTGGTTTTAACAATCTGGACCTGTGCACTTGATAGCGTTCTCATACCGGACACATAGTATTACAATTCAAAAAAAAAAAAGAAGTTTGACTCCTGGTTAACTTTTAAAAACCATTCAGATCCAATTTAAACACAAATCATATCTGTTTAACACCAAAAGTTTAGATAAATAATTTTTTTCTGTCTAACAAATTCCACTTAACTTGAAAATATCTTTTGGCCAATAGCAGATACAAACACTTTAGAATTTAATGGAAGGCTGGAAAATTTTCAGAAAGTGCAAAGTACGCCATGCTAAAGGTTAACATCATACAGGGTTTACCAATGTATGTCTTTAAAACAAGCTGTAAGTGCGGGACTTTTGAAAGACAGTACCTGAATCATACTATTAGCTTCAACAGCAACACATTTTCAAAGTGGGCTTCTTTCAAGAAGTTTCAGCATAAGCCAACAACAACCTGTATTACATGGTTTCACAATCAGTAAACAGAGAGTATTTTATATGTACATATACATATTTACAAATACCTAGTGATTTATGAGAATGCTGAAAATTGTACATTCCTAGCCCATATGGTACCATGGGATAGGATTTCAACTATAATCAAAACTCAGTTTCTATTAACTTAAACAACAGGCAACACCTTGAACAACCCCCAGTTTAAATATACCCAGATAAAGCTAACCAAGGGGTCAACATTATTGGATGAGAGCAATAAAATACTCTCAAAGCATTTTTACTAAACTACAGAGAAGCTATATCAGATTTCCCAAACTTAACTAGTCATTAAAGTAAAATCTGATTTAAAATTTTCAGGAACATTTGGTCATATTTTTTTAAAACTTCATTATACAATTTTCAGAAGATCTGCTGACCAAATAAAGATATGATCAGTCTGATTCAATTTAAATATTTAAGCCTCTAACTAGGTCTTAGGTTTTTGCCAGTATAATACTTAATATACTTTGAGCAAATGAGTTCTGTGGAAGATGAGAAAAACTCAATTTTTCAAGTTTGGAGAGCTATCTCTCCCCTCCTTTATCTAGTGGAAGTTTAACATATTACTGACTAATAAATTTTACAGAAATTACAGCTGGCACCTGGATAATTCAATTCTAATAATGTCAAAAGTGGCAATGTGGAAGACCAGAAGTTAATTAAACTGAATTAACCTAGTCCTAGCACTGCCTATTTGGCTGTGGAATCTTGGCCAAATTATTTAACCACTCTATTCTGTTACCTCATCTAAAAAATGAGGAACTAGATTAGATGATTTCTATGGTTCCTCCTTTTTTATGATTCTATGTATTTGAGATATTATTTATTATTTGTGGACTTCTCACATTAGTACCAGCAATTCCATGAATACACTTAAAATTCAGGGGAAAAAATATTTCTAAAAACTTAGTAAGAATTTCAAAGGATACTGAAAAAGAAATAAGTCCAGATATTAATGGGCTCTTATTTCTTTTGCAGAGAATTCAAATAAGGTTTTTAAAAAGAGCAACAGCTAAAACAGTTCCAGTGCCTATTATAAAAGCTAAAAACAATGAAGAAAAATAAGTTACCAAATTATTTATAAACAATGTAGAGCTAAAAAGTCAAAAATTGAAAAATTTCTCTTTCAAAGACTAACTAGAACTCTTTTTTCCCCATTTCCCTTAGGTAGATTAGCAGGGCACTATTTAAATATCTAAGTTAAACAATTAAATTGGAGTAAATAAGCCTTCCTTAGATACAGAGGCAAGCAGTTAAAAAAACATGCAAATATATAAATAATGTTGTAATGCTTATACTTCAATGGATCTCATGATCTCATCATGGGTAGTTTAGGCAACTACGTATAAATAAAAGATCTAGCTGATAATCACGAAGGGTTGGGAATTCCATGTTACACAAATTTATACTCTTAAACAAGTAATAATTCACAGTCAGACCCTGAAAACTGACATAAATACGAGGTTTCTCATCAACCACTCATCTCAATATCTGCATTAATAAGAATTTTTCAGCATTTTATTAACCATGCCAAAACCTATACTTAGCAGGAAAACATGGGGTTCAGACAAAGCTGAGTAACAAAACAAAACTATTTGTAACCCCATGAATATGCAAATTAAGATTCTAGACAGTAAAGTTAAGGGCCAATTATCATTCAAGGGACCAAAAAATGTAAATAAATGGATAAAAATAATCTAACCTTTTTTGCTAGATTATGCTGTTTTGCACCTACCACCCAACATAGTTAGGATACCATAACAGAATCTGCTTTTTTTTTTGACTTTGTAGATTTACTAAAATAAAATTTCAAAATCTAGTCCAAATGCTGACAGTCTAGGTAAGAGCTAGCCAATACTGTAGCCCCCTTGTTAGCCTTTTACAAGATGCACATTTTAATTTGTATATTCCAGTACTACCACAGTTATTTTGACAATTTTATGAATAAAATCTATATTGATGAAATCCAGAATTTCTATAAAATAGCTGAATATGCATCTCAGATGAGTTAAAGTCTTTGTTTTCAGATTTATCTATAGTTTAAATATATTCTATCTTGAATAGACATGATGCTTTCAACTTCTTAAATTTCTAAAATTATACAAATTATACATAAGTAATGACTACTAAGAACTGTTACAGAAAGTGACAACTTTTATGAACAGCCACTTTACAAAATGCAATCTACACAGCAAGTTGTCTTTTTATTTTTATTTTTTTTACAAATGATGGCATATTTTTAATTACTGTGTGAGAATAAATTCTTGTTCAATGTCCACAATTAAGATTATGCCAGTAAAAGTAACTTAACTGCACCAAATGGGCACCTTCCTATTGCTTTTACCTTTAATATACCTGTGCGGTCTCATGAAGTATTATCCAACCCTCTCCCAGCCCAAGGCCTTTGGGTAAATTAAGCCTAATCATTAACTACATAACAATTTTAATCTAAACTGTAAAGAACTAATTACAGTAATGTGAAAAATTATTTACAACATTGTAGATAAACTCTGCATTTTATCGACTTTCCTTTAATGAAATGTTAAGTTCTACAACTGTAACTTAAGGGAGATTAGAGCAATACACATACAATTGAATAAATGGGCACAGTCTATCATGGTGTTCATCCCATGCAAGTCTGAAGTACTGTTAAGTGTCCTCCTTTAAAAACTGTTGGTGGTGGTGCATGCAGTATGCAGTCAAGGTGAATTGCAAGTCTGAGTTTTTTCAGAGGGTTTTTGCTGATGCCGATGTTGTGCATGATGAAGTGTAGAGTCAGCCTGCTGGAGTCCTCTATCCTTCTTAATGCCTTGTCCAGCTTGGGGGGAAAGTCCTTTCCATAGAGAAGCAGTGTGCAAGTTTGTAAGGAATATTCTGAATCAGTTTCCTCTCCTCCAAAGAGAGAGAGCTGCTTGGAGAAATGCAAGTCCTGGAACTGCGGGCGTGCCTGCATGTGGGGGCTCCTTGTTGAACTACATGATAGCTCAGTACACACCAGGAGGGGGCGCTAATGTTCAATGTTAATTTCTCGAGGATTACATGATAGCCTTTCGAAACAATGCATTCACCAACAAGACCTCATTTGAACTAATTAGTTCATTGCAAGAAAAAGAAAACTAACTGTATATAAAGATGCCAGCGTACACATTTACACTTTATAATACACAAACACCTACCTCGCCTTCCCAAGTATGGCTTAGTGTAGTCCCAACTGTCATTGTCATTCCTAATAACATTTAGGCGTGTTGGCTGTTGAGATTAAATGACAGTAAGTCAAAAGCGCGAGGCGAAAACATACACTCCTTAGAAGCAATCATAACTGAAAAATACATACCCTTGCATATTCAATTTTTAGTGTACAGCATCCAGCATATATATCTGCTCCATTGAGCGCTGCTTTAGCTTTCTGGGCACAAAGAACTGATTCAAACATAAGTTTTGTTAAGGAAATTTGTTCAAGATAGGTTTATTTGTTCTCCTTTCCTGGAAAAAGGCACAACAAAATCTGAAATCTCTCACATATATGGGAAGTGTTTCACTGAGCAAAAGTGGCTAGAACAGGTTTAAAAGAAAATTTTTTTTGTTGTTTTTTAACGTATGGGGTCCCAAACCACAAAGGAAGCAACCTAATTTCCCATCTATTCTTCTAATTCCAATTTAAAACAACAACAAAAATCATCAATGAAAGTATTTACAGAATTGTATGGAGATAACAACATAAGAAAAATTACACAGATAAAACCTGTGACTAATTTAAAGTTTCTAAAATCTTAACTAGAGTATGTAAAGCATGGTTTCCAGATAGAAAATACTAAAAGAAAAAGAAACAAAAGGATTTTTAAAAAAAATATGGATTATAATATGCTTATGTGCTTCAGTTAAATCCAATAATCATTTATGAAAGTATTTAGGCACTAAGGATACAAAAATAAAGCAATACACCATCAGTGCCCTCATATAATTTGCTATCTAGTAAAAAAAAATGAGACAGGTCTTTCCAACTCTAACTCTTACGAACACACAGGTGAATACAATACAAATTATAATTATTTAAGAGACATAAATAAAGTAGTATTAAGAAATTCAAGGCGGGGAAAACTACCTAATTTGGAGGAGAGGAGAAAAATCAAATTTATACCTGACTTGGAAGGGAAGGATTTCAGAGTTGAGGTTAAACGGGGAAAAGATAAGACCATTCCAAACATGGGGGATACACAGAGGCAGACACAGAACCAATTCAAATCAAACTGTGATAAGGAAATTGGGACAGGATGAGATTTTGAAATGGCACTCTACTCCACAATATAAAAGGAAGTAATATGAGACAACTAAGATAGATTTAGAACAAAGTTGCGGTGGGCTTTGAGTTTCCAAGCCAAAAAATTTACATTTTACTAGATAAACTATGGAAGTCACTGAAAACTGAGCAGGACAGTGACATAGTCAAACCTACACGTTAAGAATATCTTAGCAGTGGTGTGAAGGTTATATTAGAGAAAACTAACTAAAAGCAGGGAAACCAGCTAGGAGGCTATTATAAAAGTCTAAGAGAAGTAATGAAGGCCTGAACAAATGATAATAATTTACACTGATCCACAGTTTTAAGATTCATGAAGTACTTAACACACACCTTATCTCACTAGACTGTCACAACAACCCAGTGAGATAGAGATCCTGCTTTAATTCTTCTGGCCACAAAGTAGGCTACTCAATAATGAATGCTGAATGACTCATACTGGCAGGTTGTTTTCTACTGATTCCAAAGGCCTTCTAATCAAGTTTCTTAAAATTTTGACTTAAAATAAAATTAATTTACAGTAAACTTCAAGGGAGTACAGTATACAGACTATCTAATCATTATAAAAAGAAATTTGTCCTACTATAATTGGGAAAAACTAAAAATTTAAATGTAACAGGTTTATTTTAAAGTTACCGTTCAAATCTTACAATTAAGTACCCTGTATTAAAGTCACAAAATCTAAAATTTGTGTTTTTTTAAAAAGTATGCTATATGTAAACTTTTCTGAAACAAAACAGGAAATATCAAACTATTTTAATAAGTAGTGAAGCAAATAAAACTACGATGAACATCTGGATGAGACACTCATAGTTACAAATTACAAATCAGTACAAATATAAAATAAAGGATATTCAACCATTGCTTGTATTCCATTTCTCTTGAATATGACAATCCGTTGCACTTTTCCAACAGGATTGCATACTGTATATAAAACATCCTAAAAAGGAAAAAAAAAGTTTTGGATTTATCAAAGTAGTCATGCTATAAATTTCAGTTAGATTATTAATACAACTAAAAGGAAATTAGTATAGCCCTACTATTCCTTAAAAATAATAACAGAACCAATTACTTCTACCGACAATACATGGAATACCAATTTTCTAAATTACAAACGTATTTTTAAATTTTTAGATGAATCTGATACACAAATATGTCTCTAAATACAAATATAGCCATGTTTCTTGTCATTCCAAATATTTTCAAAAGAGTACATTCAACTAAAATTACTGTTAAGAGAAAATAAACAAAGTATAGGCAATAAGGATATATAATTAATAAGGACATGAGATTCAAATGGGTATTTCTCTCAAACAAAATTAAAGTAACAGATGTTGTACAGAAAAAATAATGTCAAATATGCTATGCATTTGTCCACTTATTTCTTCTTCAAAACGTCAACTCTGTTAAGATAAGGACTACAGATTTTTTGAACTGCTGTATCCATGGTAATTTCACCATTAAGAGAATATCCCTGGTTTGAGCTTCAGGTAGACAAGTTCACTTTGTTTTGTTTCATGGCTACAAACTGACCTATCTGGCCAGATAGTCTGAACATACATGGCCTCTGTAACAAGAGCTGAGGGTAGGCAGAATAATACAAATCTACCACTACTGCCGGAAAAACTTAAAAGCACATGTTGTAATACCAGATCAACCAGCTCACCATGTACAAAGGACAGCTAGTATAGTAGTCTGTGTCCAGGATCTTACTTAAAAGGATATTCAAATGTTATGGAGAATAAGTTAATATTAAGATGTGCATAGTGATGATCTTTTATCTTTAATTACTCAGGAAGACAAACTACCAATTGCTTAAGGTATCTACTAATTACACTCCAGAGGCAAATGGTAAGCAAAGAGTGGTGTGTAAGAGTGTGTCCCTTAAGAGTATGATATGTAGCACTGAACTCATTATTACAACAGATTTGTAAACTTGGTAAATAGTGTGCCTGCTGCTACTTCTCTTAAGTCTCCTTTATTTGCCTGAGAGCTGTTGAAGCTTTCACCACCACTATGGGATATGGTAGCAGGCAATCAAAGCCATTTATTTGATAATAATGAGGTATGGCTTACCCCCAACCCCTTGTTCAACAATTCAACTCAACCAGTATTTATTAAGCACATATCATGTGACAGACACTAGGGACTCAAAGACAAACCCTAACCAGTCCTTGCCTTCATGAAGCTTATGTGTACTCAGATTAGTGGAGTGAGTGTTTAGGGGAGGAGAAGCACTAAAAACTGTAGTAACTCTGGAGAAGTCTCTTGTAGGGCTCCTCTGCTGAGCCTTGAAAAGAACCAGAGATTCCAAAAGCTTTGAGGAAGGAAAGAATTCTGGGCCTTAGGGACAGTCTGTTCAAAAGAGAAACAGGAGATGGTATGTCCTATACAGGGGACAGCAAGTGTCTTGAAGTTACAGATATTAACAATGTAAATATTACAGATATGTAACTACCGTCCAAATATTAACTACCATAAAATATCCTTTCCCTCAATTCTGAAGCAACTTTACAAAGAACCTAATTTAAGCTAATTCTCTCTTTCCCCATTAGCTTCTCTTTACTTCCAGAAGGGAATCCTTATAGGAGAACAGCAAATTCTCACATGAGAGACACAGGATCATAATACATAGGAATGGGATTCTCATGTCTGTGAATAAAAACATAATGAATGTACTAAAGTTAAACTGTTAAAATATTACACTTAATTTTAAGTCAAGCTCCTACCCTACCTGCCCAGCAATCAGAATAGTTCTGGTAAATTTTATTTAAGAAGGGGAGGAGCAGAGCTACCACAGTGAGAAAAAACCTATCCCAGATACACCTAAAGAAGAGCAGTATCTCTGAAGTTGGGGAACACAATCAAATCAACTTTAGGCAAAGACTTGAGGTTTATCAATCATTCCTCGGAAGGAGTGTGACAATTTTTCCCATGGCTAGCAAATTATCCTCAACTCAGAACCCCTGGAATTTATTGAGTCTATCCTGCCTTTCCCTGCTACCACTCCCTGACTCTAATGCCCATCCAGGTCAGCTATACCCTTTCCCTTCCCTTGCACCTAATGACAAACCCCTGTTCCACTGTTTTAAAACTGCCTTCATATTAGACACATTGATCATTCCACCTTACTGCAATCAGGGAAACCTGGCTTGCGTGAGGCCATCTAGATGTACCTTCTTGTCCCTCCTCCCCACTACTACTAATGCTTCCCTCTGAGGTTACTTTCCATTTACCTTGTCTCTATCTTGTACATACAGCTGTTGGCACGTTCTCTCCCATTAGAATGTGAGCTGCTTGAGAGCAGGGGCTCCTTTTTGCCTTTCTTTGCATCCCCAGCACGTGTTAGCACAATGGCTGGCACACTCTTCATCCTAACTTCCCAACTTCTATTCAGAATACAAGGGGCAGCTCGGCGGCACAGTGGATAGAGCACCCACCCTGAAGTCAGGAGGACCTGAGTTCAAATCCAGCCTCAGACCAAACACTTGACACTTACTACCTGTGTGACCCTGGGCAAGTCATTTGACCCCAACTGCCTAAAAAAAAAGAAAGAAAAAGAATACTACCCTTCCTCTAGTCAGCAAATCAAGCATTCATTAAGCATTTAACATCAAGCACTGTGTTAAGGATACAAATTTTTTTTAAAAAGGCAATCCCTATCCTCCAATAGTTTGCATTTGAGTAGAAGAGACAACACATACAGAAACTGGTATATACAAGATACATTCTGAGTAAATACAAGGCAGCTTTACAGAAACAGCACCATCAGCCTGGGATATCAGGAAAGCCTTCCTGCAGCAGGTTATCACTTCAGGTAATACCAAGCCTTGAATGAAGCTAGGGATTCTAAGAGGCAGAGATGAGGATGAAGTGCATGCTAGGCATGCAAGACAGGGCAAATGCACGGCAGACAGAAAATGGAGCAATTTATATGAGGAATAACAAATAAGCTCAATATGGTCAAACCATAAAGTACATGTAAGACTGAAACAACAGAAAAGAGTCAAGTTGCAAAGACCTTTAAATGCCAAAGTACCTTTATTAGATTTTAAAGGTAATTGGAAACTACTAGCATTTACTGAGTAGGCTAATGACATGGTCAGACTTGAACTTGAGGAAAATCAATTTGGCAGCTCTGTCTAAAGGATGGTTTGGAGTGGGAAGGGACTTGAGGCAGGGAGATCATTTAGGAGGCTAATGCAGTAATCTAGATGAGAAGTGATGTAGGCCTACAGTAGGGTTGTGACTATGTGAGTATAGAGAAGAGGATATATGACAGAAGTCTTCTAGAAATAGAAATGACTAGATTTGATGAGACACATGGTAAGAGTGAAAGTAAAGAAAATTGAACACACTGAGGTCATGAATCTGGATAACTGGAAGGATGGTGATGCTCTTAACAATAACAGCAAAATTCAAAAGAAAAGTGGGAAAATGATGAATTCTATTTTGGACATGTTGAGATGCCCCTGAGATATCCAGTTTAAAATGTCCAACATGCAGTTCATGATACAGGACTAGAGCTCAGGATAAATATACAGATCTTGGAGTCACCTGCATAGAGATGACAAATGAATTCAAGGGAACTCATGAGATCACCGAGAGAGAGTACAGAGGAAAAAAGAGGAAGCAAGTTCAGAACAAAACCTAAAGGAATGCCTATAGTTAGAGAGTAGGAGAGGGATGAAGACCCAAGAAATGAGACTGAGAAGGAACAATCACACAGGTAGAAGAAATAAGAATGATACCATGAAAACATAGAAAGAAGAGAATATCTAGGACAATGTCATCGACAGTGTAAAATACTGCCAAGAAGTCAAGGATGAAGACTGAGAAAAAGCCATCAAAGCTGACAATTAAGAGACTATTGGTAATACTGGAGAGTGTAGTTTTTATTGATTAATGAGTAATCTAGAAAAGAGTGAAAGTGGAGGAAGCAGAAGTTTGCAACCTCAAAGCCATCCTAAATTCTTCTTGCTTCCTTTCTCCAGCCCCCATATCCAATGATCTGCCAAATCTTTCCCATTCTACCATAACATCTTTCAAGTCTGTTGTATTCTCTCCACTCACACCACAAACACCATGATTCAGATCCTCATTACCTCACCTGGACTACTGCAATAGCCCTCTAAATGGCTTCCCTCTCACTAGCTTCTTCCCTCTCCAATCCTTCTTCCACCTAGCTGCCAAAAAGCACACGTCTTACCATGCCATTCCCCATGGCTACCTATTGCCTCTATGATAAAATACAAACCCCTCTGTTTTGCATTTAAAGTACTTCACAATCGTTTTGCATTTAAAGTATTTCACAATCCTCCAGTTGATTTCATTCTTCCTCCTAGCACTCTGCACTAGCCAAACTGATGTCCTTATTATACTCCATAAATGACATCCCAATTCCCACCTCTGTCTTTGTGTAGGTTGTTTCCTATACCCAAAACACTTTCCTTCTTTACCTCCACCTCTTGGAAGACCTAGCTCTCTTCCCAACTCAACTCAACTCTCCTAGTAGGTGCCTCTGCTAATTCCCCCAGTTATTTGTGACATTCAACTGTTCAGTTTTTTTTTTTGTTTTGGATTGACCTACACATGCTCTAATAAATACTTGTTGAAATGAACTGATAATCAGTCAAAAAAACTAGACTGGGAAAAAGTGAATCACAGGGCCTAAGGAAGCCATATTTATAGATAGGGAAGCAGTCTGTGGTTAGATTCAAAGCTGGGAAGACAGAAATTTTAGTTGCAATGGTTGCATAGTAAAGATTCAAATACTGAATCAAAGAATGAATGACTTTAATTATGGCAAGTAAAGCTCTTTAAAGTTATAGCAAGATAATAGTTCGTTGGCTATTGTCCATTCTTGAAGAGGACCAAAATGATATCACTATGTTAGAGTCAAGTTACAGTGTGTCCAACTGTGGCCGATCAGAGCAATACAAGCTCGGAATGCTCTACCACAGGTCAGGCACAATTAGTCCACGTGAACATTTAGGGTGCAGTCTCTAAATCTGTGCATCTCACATTTCTTTTGAGCTACTTCATTTCTGCTTTGCTCATCAAGCACAGCACCTTCTCTGATGAGAGCACACTGTGCTGGGCGGACCTATGCCAGTGTCTTCTACTTCACACAATCCAACCCAAGTCACACAATTCCAAAGTTCTATCTATTAAGTTTGCAAACTGCCTAATTGAGATTCTAAGTATCCATTAGAGGAGGACTAGTTATCTGATCACATTTGTAAGAGGTCCCTGAGTGGCCCATTATCTGAGATTTCGGTCAAGCAGGTACTAGAAAAGGATCCTACAGTATATTAATAGTGTAATATTATAGCCAGAATAATGTATTATATTTAAGTCAACAAGCATTTATTAAATGCCAACTATGTGCCAGGTACTGTGCTAAATACTGGGGATATATATAAAGGCAAAAAGAGTTCCTGCCCTCAAGGGAAGCACATTCTAGTGGGAGGAGACAACAAGTAAACAACTGTGTATAAACAAGATATATACAGAATAAGCTGGAAACAACCTCAGAGGAATAACACTAATGGTAAGACGGATAAAGAAAGGCTTCTTACAGAAGGCGGGAATTTAGCTGCTACCTGAAGAAATCCAGGGGAACCAGGAGATGGAGGTAAGGAGGAAGAGCATTCCAAGCATGGGAGAGAGCCAATGAAAACACTTGCAGCTGGGAAATGGAGCGTCAAGTACAAGGAACAGTAGAGGCCAGTATCAGTGTATTGAAGACACATATGCAGTGAAGGGTGTAAGACATAAGAAGACTGGGGGATAGGGATTGCAGTTGAATGGTAGATAGAGTGGAGTAGGGAGAGACTTCAAGCAGGGAGACCAACCAGAAAGAAGGCTATTGTAATAGTCCAAGTGTGAGATAATGAAGGCCTATACCAGAGTAATGGCAGTGCCAGAGAAGAGAGAAGGAGGCATATATAAGAGATCACTGTGAAGGTAGAAGTGGCAGGTCTTGGCAAGAGATTAGACATAAGGGGGTGAGAAAGAAGTAAGGAGTTGAGGATGACACATGGGCTGTGAATCTGGATGATTAGGAAGGATTGTAGTACTCTTAATAGTAGTAATAGGGAAGTTAGAAAGAGGTGAGGATTTGGGGAGACGGAGAATGAATTCAATTTCAGACATACTGAATTTGAGAAGTCTATGGATGTCCAGTATGAGATATCAAATAGGCAGTTGTGTATGAGAGACTGGAAGTCAGAAGACAGGTTAGGGCTAAAACAAATGTGAGATTCATCTGCATAGAGATAATAATTAAATCTATAATAATTCATACTCAATATATGGTTTTTATATTATAATGCATCAGTATATATTTAAATTTTTCAAACATTCTCTGTAATGTATAATTTTATAAATACATAGGTCAAGAAATAATTGTTTGATTAAAAAGCATAACTGTGATTCTCTGGAATTCTCAAGATGCAAAGTCTAGAAATTACAAGCTGTCATACAGAAAATAACTAAGTTGGATCATGGTTATTCCTCCAACTACCAAACAATTAAACTTCAACTTGCCATCTAATGGAGCAAAAGGTCCTACTCAGGAAAAAAAAAGTGATCTTAAAGTTAGATAAGTTAGATACCCCAGCAGAGTCTAGTGCCAAATTAATAATGCTATAATGTAACAGAACTTGACTAAAGAAATGTCAACGTGAAGTGAACTACCATCACGTCCTGAGATTTAAGGCAGAAAGCTTTACTAATTCAGACTTTCCTTACTGTATGTTATTAGTCTAGTCAAACTCAAGTGTTCCTTTCACTTGCTTGTCTCTAAACAGTTCTTTTTAACTTAATGTATAAAAGGCAGTTAGATGGCACAGTGTACTAGACCTGGAGTGAGGAAGACTCAAAGTCAAATCTGGTCTTAAATACTTAATAGCTATGTAAACCGGCAAGTTACTTATTAACCTTTGTCTGCCTCAGTTCCCTCATACAGAAAATGGGTATAACCCATTATATATAATTGGTATATATACCTACCTTCCAGGAGGATTGTGAGGATAAAATGAGAGAGTATTTGTAAGGTGTTTCACAAACCTTAGTTACATTAATTCTAGATACTAGTATTTTTCACGATAATATGAATAATGTATAATTAATAATATTAATGTTGTCCTTATAAAAATCCTAATTTTATATAAAACCAAAATATGAAAAGCTTATTTCTCAGGCTTCAATGAAAACTCAAGTGAATTAGAAGAAAACAAGAAAGATAAAATTTTAAGTTTTCAATAAAATTAGTTCTGAAATTATTTTAATAAGCTGTTTAAATCATTTTCAAGTTTCAACACAGTGAATTGTGTGGCTGACCTAAGCAAATATTCTGCCTGCTCCACTGTGAGGTTCTTCCCTCATAAGGTAACATCTGAGATAGCCTAACAGCCTTCAAAGCATTCTCTGCCTCACATTTCCTCCCTTTTAGTTTTCTCCCTTATTCTCAGGAACTGAGCTGCAACAGTGATGATCAATAGCATTTACCAAATAAGGTGTTTTATTTACCTAAGTTGTTCTTGCCTGCCATTATTAAGATTTTTTTTAAAATTTTACAATCACATAAACAAACTGAAGAGAACTTTTCTATCCTCACTCTGCAGCACAGATTCCCACTGCCCCCTGGGAGGGGCTGAAATGATCCAGGGATGTGGTAGTAGCCTCGGGTGCAACTGGGAAGTGCTGAATAAAAATAAGTGGGAGAGGGGTGGAAGCATAAGAAAAGAAGAAAAAAAAATTTTTTTTTGAAAAGAAGAAAATTTTGAAAAGCTGTTCATACATGTTTCATCTGTTACGTAATGTAGTTAAAGTCATAGTGATTATATTATTTTCCAAATAAACACACAAAATGCAAGTTATAACCTATAAGTGGTCAAGTCCACTGACAGTCTTAACAAGCAAGTGTTGACAAGTGAGCAGTGCGGCGCATTGTCAGAAAGTCCCGCATGCATCAGCAGGAATATGTGCATGTAATGACTTGTTCACAATATGATACTATATGGTTATGTGATGCAATATTGCATCATCAAAATTTCAATGCAGGAAAAAACCACAAATTTACAATAAATTATTAAATTTAAGCTGTGTTGTTTTTTAAAAAATATTTCTTTTTGAAATGACACAATTTCTCAAAAAAAAAACCCTTAAAAGGTTAAAGAAAGTAGATTTCCAGGGGTGCTAAGTAATTTTTTTTTTTGAAAAGGGGGCAGTAGGACAAAGGTTTTGGAAACTCCACTTTAGAGGGAAGCTTAAAAATCCAGAAGCATGGATCAGTGAGATTCGCGATGTTGAAAACATACACACATACATCCATACATACGTACCACTGTGATTGGGTAGAGGGGATTCTGAATGGATAAAAGAAGAACTTTGTTGCCCCCTGAAGGATCATCAGTATTTCCTGGCCGAGTGATCCTTTTACTTGTAGAGTAGTTGAAAAAGGCTTGTTGGCCAGCTATATAAACTGGTTCATCAGCAGCAAAGGTGACACACTCTTTGGCACTATCTATGTTTTCAAATTCCACTAGAGCCTGGCGTTTAAATGGCATCATCATCACATAGCTAGTTTCAAAAAAAAGAAAGAAAAGTGTGAGTTCACGTGTAGTTTCCAGTCTCTTTTACATCAGAACAAGTACTAATAGCTTTTCTTCAGTAAACCATCAGATCACAGCCTTGACTATCTTTACTCAACATCAATCTACTGTAGAATTAATCACATACACTGAAGATGAAGTGTTTATTTAGGCACTTACTTCTCTGGGTAATCTTGTTCCCAGAAATGTTTTCTTTTCCCTCCCTGGGTCAGAATTATGGTCACATTCACAAGGCAAGTCCTAACTGGGTGATGGACCTAATCAGGACATTCTTCACTAACAGGCAAAGGAAAGAATGCCACTCTCAGACAATAATAGTAGACAGCATCCTAATATGGAAACCTGACCTGACCCTGGTCTCAGAGCTATACAAAGAAAAATAGACTGATATCATCCTGAGGAAAATCAACATCCTCTCCCTGCTTTATCTGGATTGACCTAACAGCCTTCAATATCAGGTAGGTTATTACACATCAGGTAGGTAGTAATAACATATTCAACCTCACAGTGACCCAGGTAACTCTCTAAACTAAAAGTTGCAAAACAATAGTCAAATATGCATTGGTAAAATATGCATGGGAATTTTAGCATCAGGAACTCTTATATTAAGACTCAACATGATAATTTTGTTGTTGATAATAATAACATACATTTACAAAATATTTGGTAAGGTTAAAAGAAGTCACTGTGGAATGATCAAATTTTCGATGTTAAAGTATAGCATTCTCTTAAATATTTACTACTGTCTTCCCATTTAAAAATTTTTAAAATTACACTAAAAAACCCTATTTTATAAGACACATCCATTTTTCAGCCTGGTACCTAGAAAAGGCCAGTATGTTTAAAAACATTCTCACTCTTGGTATACTATTAGCCATGGTTTACACTCATGTTACCAGGGCATCCTGGTATCACTACAAGCAATCAAGTGGCACAGGGCAAATAAGATAAAAAAAATTTTTTTCTTTTATTATGTGGAAGAATGACTTCAATCAATGCTTTAAGGGTCTGATTTCATTAATGTGGGTACTCCCTCTACCAATAAATATCACAACACTTTTACAACTTAAGAAGTTATCTTCGAGAGCTGATGTGGCTGAAATATTCATCACCCTGCAGCCAGCCTGTGGTGATGAGCTTTTCTGAAGCCAGGTTTGTCCTTGTACAATAAACATAAAATCCATCACCCAGCCTCATACTCCAAGACTTTGCAAACTGGCAAGACTTGCAAGAGTTTATACGCTTTGATGGTAAAGCTTTTAAGAACCCAGATGGATGTTTCCCCCCAAATGGCTCCACAATAACCTAGCACTGAACAACTGTGCACAATTGGTCCTGCTCTTCTAGCGTCCTACATTTCATGGATGTTATAATTATTCCAATATCAAACTCAATTCTTGTTTTCAAAGTTTTCACATTTAATTTTCCCAACACCTTATTTCTAGACAACAACTCTAACATTTCTTAGGTATAAACAGCTACAAAGAGAGGCTCAGACACTAAGGATGACAGAAATGTGCAAAGCTGCCTGCTTCTTTGCAGCTGCTTGGTGAGAATGCACTATCAACACATTGGCCAGCTGATTCCCACAGTCCAATGCCAACACCAAGGTTTCAATTCAAAAAAGAATTTATTAATGCCAAGTGCCAATACTATGGCAGGCCCAGATGAAAAAGAAATTGTCTTGCCTTCTAAGAGGGATGTTTACATTTTACTTGCATTCAAGTCTACTATCTGCTATGACCAGACATCTGCTTTGATCTAGAGCCTCCTCAGAATAGGCCCAAGTGACTATTTCAACCATGGAGCAATTCTACCTCCCTATCTGAACTCCAAAAGGTCATAACTGACATGAAGCTACTGGCACTTATTTTAAACATAAGAAAACTGCCCTTGGCTTTCTTTGGTTTCAACTTGAACCATCAGTACTGAAACAGAAACATAACAGACTTTAGAGCAGAGGGGGAGAAGGGAATAACACTTTCTCAGGTATTCAACTTTCATAACGTGCTACTATTGCATAATAAAAGGCTCAACCTAATTCTATTTGGCCACTTCCTTCAAAGAGGAACCTCTTACTGCTAGACACTTTCTGAGCACTCATTAGCTATTTTTAATGCCATTGACATACTCTGAATGTCCACTTACTTCCCAGAAACCTTTACTGTTCAAAGCAAGAAAAGTACAAACTATGCTAAAATTTTTCTAGTGAACCTGCCATTTTAAGAGGAGCAATGTGGAAGGAGCACAAAACCCAAGGCTGAATTGAATTTCAGACACTCTGAGTTCTGTGAACCTAGGCAAGTCCCTTACCTTCTCTGAGCTATCTCCTCATCTGACACTCTGAGTTCTGTGAACCTAGGCAAGTCCCTTACCTTCTCTGAGCCATCTCCTCATCTGTAAAAGGGTATAATAATAGCACTCATCTCACAGGGTTGTCATAAGGATCAAATGACAATGTACATAAAGTGTTTGGCGAACCATAATGGGCTATTATAAATACCAAATATTATTTTCAGCTTGGTTTATATCCCAGATGCCTACAAACTAGAAAATAATGGTTTTGTCAAAAAACAAATATAATCAACTCAACTTTCAAGTGACCATATTAAAAATAGCAACATAAATATTAAAACATAATTTATTACACAGCTTTGGAATATAGTATACAGGAACACAGATTTAAAAGTAAAAGGTTAGATTTAAAGGTCAAGGGGACCCTATAAGACATCTATTCCAATCTCTTCATTTTACAGATGAAGAAACTAAGACCTGGGAGGTGCATGTTTTGGCAAAGATTCACTGTTATAACTGTGTTTCAATTAACAATCTATTTACATAGCACTTTATCGTTCACAAAACAATTTTCTCAAAAGATCTTGTAAAGTATTAAAAAGTATTATTTATTTCATTCTAAAAATGAGGAAAATAAGGGTCAATGAGCAATGTTTTGTCTGGGTTATACAACTATTAAGTTACAAAACCAGGACTAGAAATGGTTCCCAGGAACCTTCTGGTTCCCTATCCAGACTCCTTCCACTACAATACAGTGAAGAGCCAGGAACTGCAGGACTGAAAAATGGTTACAAAGAATCTACCCATGGATGACTAATAATTCATCAAGGAGATGGCTGCTACAGTTGAGAAGACTATGTAGTTAGAGAACCCGGGTTGAAATCTAGTCTGTGACCTTAAGCAAGTCACTTAACCTCCCCAGGCCTCAGTTTACTCATCTGCAAAATGAGAGGGATAATAAGGACAGCTAGGTGGTGCAGTGGATAGAGCACTGGCCCTGGAGTCAGGAGGACCTGAGTTCAAATCCAGCCTCAGACACTTGTTAGCTGTGTGACCCCAGACTAGTCACTTAACCCCAACTGCCTCACAAAGAGACAGAGACTAGACAGCCTCTGAGGTATCTTCCAGCCTTTCCCAGGTCATTAACTCCTCAACCCTCATGATCTGCAACTCTACTCTGCCTTGAACACACACAAATATGTTCACATCCTTGAAATCATCATCATAGGACTTAAGATCCTACAAACCTAATCCTTGATACCTTCCTAGCAAACAATCCTTATATGAAGTTTTTTTAACCCATGACAATTTCTAATATACATAAAAATCCACATAAATTAGCAATGAGTTCTGCAACTTATTAGGTATATGACTTTGGGAAAGTCATGTGACATCTCTGGATCTCAGACTGCTCATCTATAAAATGAGATGACTGGGCTGGATGATTTTTCCAAGTCCCCAGCCCAAATGAACTATATGCTAGTATACTGAAAAAATTGGCAAATGTGATCATTGAGCCATTGTCAGTGATATATGAAAGACTGTGAAGGACTAGAGAGATATACAGTGGGAATGGGAAAGACAAATGTCCCAATTTTCAAAAAATGGGGAAAAAGAAGTCTATAAACTACAACCTAGCAAATTTTACCCACTGGAATACCTAGAAAAATTCTGAAACATTATTTACGGTGATGCTTAGTGAACATTTAGAAAATAAAGTAGTGATCCAAAGAGCCAGCACATCATCACCAAGAAGAGGTCATGCTAGACTAATCTCATGTTCTTTATTTGACAAAGTAAGCAAATTCAAGAGACTGGTGTAGATAAAGTTTAGATTTTAACAAAGCATTTGATAAATTTTCTTGCGCTATTCTTGTGGAGAAGATGAAGATGTAGGCCAGATGACAGTACAATTAACCACTTAACCACTCTGAACTGGTTCACTGGCCAGACTCAAGGCACAATCATCAATGGATTGATGTCAACTTAGAAGGTCATCTCCAATGCAATGCCCTAGGAATACATGCTTGGCCCTATGCTGTTTTATATTTCTGTCAGTGACTTTGAATAAAGACATAAATAACACTCTTCTTATGTTTGCAGATGACAAAAAGCTGGTAAAGGTAACTGACAACCTGTAATCGGTCAGAATTCAAAAAAATCTTGACAGGCTAGAATACTGGGCCTAATCTATCATGAAATTTAATAGAGATAGATGTAAAGTCTTACACCTAAAAAATCAGAAATGCTAGAAGGACTGCAAGAAAACAGGTATATCAATTTATAGCTAGTGGAGCTGTGGACTGATACAATCATTCTGGAAAGCCATTTGGAACCATCGTCCAAAAGTTACTTAATAGTGCTTATCCTCCAACCCAGCAATACCACTACTAGACCTATACCCCCGAAGACATCTGAGAGAAGAAAAGAACCCATATAAACAAAAATACTCGTAGCAGCTCTTTTTGTGGTGACAAAGAACTAGAATCCAAAGAGTGTCTATCAACTGGGAATGACTAAACAAATTCCATCCTATGAATGTAATAAAACAAATATTACTATGCCATAAGAAATTATAAAAGGGATGGTTTCATAGAAATTGAGATGTATGAACTAATGCAGAGTAAAGTGAGCAGATGAGAACAATATATACAGCATTACAAAGAAATAATTTTGAAAGACTAAAGAATGCTAATCAACATCATGAATAACCACAATTTCAAAGTACTGATATTGAAGAATGCTACCCACCTCCTGACAGAGATGATGGACTCAAGTTACAGAATGAGACAATATACTTTGACATGGCCAATGTGGTAATTTGTTTTGCTTGACAATACCTATTTGTTACAAGGATTTGTTTTTCTTTTCTTTTGTTTTTCATTAAGGTGAAGGTAAAAAAGAAAACAAAAAAAAGAAAACAAATACTTAATTTTTTTAAATGACCTATGTAGAGTATGTGAAAAGAGAGAAAAAAAGGCTGAAGAGCTAAAATATACTGAGGTAACAATGGCACTACAAACTAACCTGAACCTCAGTTTTTAATGGATTTTTAAAAACACAAACATCTTTTCCTAACAAAATTCATTTCTCAGGGGGGAAATTATAAAAGCCTTAAGCAGGGTTTCACATTTGAGAAAAATAAATACTATTTTCTCCATTCTTCTTTAAAGGCCCTAATGGAGACTAAGAGTTTCCTATTAATTAATTTTACCAAAATTGATTTTATAGCCCATACTGTTATCAGGGTAAATAATCAATACAAGTTCAGTTTTTCTTCCATCTATAATGTTATCTTTCTAGGGATAAAAGATAACATCTAATTATCATGTACCAGTGCCCCCCCCCAAAAAGTCCAAATTTGGCTCCAAAAAAGTCAACTTCACAAGTACAAAAAAGAGGAAGACATGGTTAGACATAAATTTACCTTGAAGAGACAGAGGAGTTTTCATGGACTGCAGTTCAGCAGAAGTCAACACTGTGGTGTGGTGACCAGGAAATCTAATGTAATCTTAGGGTGTATTAAAAGATATGCAATATCTAAGATGAGGATGAGTAAAGGATTGTTGTATTCTGCTTCGGTCAGATGAAAACTGAAGTACCTATGTTTAGTTCTGGGAACATTTTAGAAAGGACACTGATAAACTAGAATATGTCCAGAGGAGAGCCACTAGGAAGGTAAAGGGCAAATTCAAGTCATGTGAGGGTTAACTGAAGGAACTGAGGATAATTATTCTGGAAAACTTAGGGGGAACATTACAGCTGTCTTCAAGTTTTTAAAAGAGCTGTCAGTGGAAAGGGGACTAAACTTGTTCTCTTTTGCTCCAAAATCAGGAACTAGGTACAACAAGTGGAAATTGCAAAAAGGCAAATTTAATCTTCATTTAAAAAAACTTCCTAACAATCAAAGCTTTTGAAGAGTGGAATGGGCTGCCCCCAGTTTTCTCTTCCCACCAGTAGCCCCCACTGGAGGTCTTCAAGCAAAGGCTGGATGACCATTTTGAGGATATTCTATAAAGGGGATTCATGTTCAATTATAAGTGAGGCTAGATGGCCTCTAAGGTCCCTTCCAACTTGTATGATCTTGTAATTTCTTTGGTCTTTCACATCCCTCCAGCTCTAAATCTATGCTCCTCAGATGAAATATGCCTACGTAAGTTTCAGAGGGAAGGAAAACAAAATGTGCACACAAAACCCCACAAGCACTGGTTTAAATAAAGGACTCTAAAACTAAGTCACACCCAAACTTAACATCTACTATGTTAGGGCACTACAGACCTATCCCAATATTTCAACTAATTTGCAGTTATTGTCAATTGTACATACCATATTGTTCCAAATTTTTCAAGAGCCTCCACAAGGTCTGCTTCCACAACTGATTCACACAGCCCTCGAACATGAACAACAGGAGAAACAGAAACTTTATGATGACTTCCACCTGCCTCCTAGCAAGGGAAAAATAAATTTCTGGTTATATCTTTTAATGTCTAAACACCATACTTTTTGCAAATTTAATTTTTGCTTTTAAAAACTTAAATCATACTCCCAATTGAAGGATTAGTAAGATTACTTAAGAGAAAATTATTCAGTTACTGAGTTTTCAAAAGTTCTCAAATAATAACTTTTTATCTCAACTTGAAAGTAAAACAAAATTACTTCAGAATTCAATTCTGCCTACAGAGAATCAAAGATACTATTTCAAGTAGATATCTTGATATAACTTGACTGTGGCTCCTACATCTCACTATTTACCTTCATTCTATTTCCTTCAAAACCCAAATTCTAAATAACCTTTAGTATCAAAAAATCCCATTTTTGTCCTGGATGGCATTAACCAAATAATACTGTACCACTCAAGATGATGACAACATACTTTCTCAGTTGTTTTTCTCCTACGGAATTAATGGATTTATCATTATCATTAATCAATTAACTAGGGAATAATCTTGTCCCATTATAATTTGGGAAATAGCTCACTTAGGGACCAATCTGCATGACAACCTAAAATTTCACGTTTCTATCTTTCCTGATGAGTATTAAATACTCAAACCTGCGAGTCAAAGGAAAGGAATCATAAAATTTTTGAGCTGTAAAGCACCTTAAAAAAATTACCTAGTTCAACCCTCTCACTTGATAGATAAGGAAACTAAGGTCTAGAGGGGAAAGAAGGAAATGGGAAGGAATTAAGTATTTATAGGATAAATGATTTGCCCATGGCTACACAAATTAGCAATACAGGCCCAGGTTCTTACTCTTAGTCCAATACTCTTTATACCATAGCATGCAGCCCCTAATTCTCCTGGTTGATTCCTCTATGAAAATATATCCTTCGCCTAAAGCGGATACTATGAACCTTTGAATACAAACTATCTAAATATAAACAAGGAGTTTCAAAAACGCTGAATGTAAAGTAAATTATAGGAACTAGAACTGGAAAGGACTCTAGTAGCAATCTACTCCAACTGGTCATTCTACAAACTGGGAAATTAGGATTATGGGACGTAAAAAAAAAAAGACTTGACCAACAGTATACAGTTGAATCTGAACCCAGGTCCTTTGATTCTAAACCCAGCATTCTTTCCATCTATACATACCATGCTGCAACTCATCTATGAAAAATGCTTTAAAAACAGATGACTTTAATGAAACTATGAGGGAGATTGTAAGAAAATATGATGATACCCAGGAAGCAACCATTATCAAATCTGCTTACTGTCTTCAACTACTCCATTACATGAACCTTCTGTTCTAATCAATTGCACACTGACGTCTCCTTTCCTTAGCTCACACATTCCCCATTAGCTAGAAGATGTCTCTAACTTCTAGTCTCTAAATATGGTCCCACCCCACCTTCTGGATGATACCTGTTGCTGATCACCCCAGTTATCAGTGATCCTCCTCTGATCTGATTCAAAACTTTGTCTTTCCCAATCATTTGGCCCTTAAAAAAATACTCAGTACCAAACAATCTCAACTATACTATAAATCAGCTTGGTACTGGTTAAAAATAGTAAAGTAGGTCTGTGAAAGTGAGTAGAAAAGAACCAGGAGCAAAAGCACACTAAGTACGTGCCAGACGTTAGAGCCACAAAGATAAAAATGAAACAGCTCTTGCCCTTAAGAAGCTTCAATTCCATCAGGGGAAACATGTACATAACTAAAAGCAAAATATACACAATGTAAATATAAAGTATTTTCAAAGTAGGTACTAGCAGATGGAAGGAAGAGCATCAAAAAAGGTTTCATGCAGAACATTTCATTTAAGTTGAGACATGAAGAGAGCTAAAGATTCTAAGAGGAGATTAGGACATTCCAGGAATGGGAGACAATCTGTGCAAAGGCAAGAAGAATGGGAAATGTAATGCTGAACAGGAGATACAGCACAGAGACCCATATTGCTGGATTAGACTGTGTGAAAAATAATGAGTAATAAGACTAAAAATATAGACTAAAGGCAGATTGTGAAAAGTTCTAAATGCCAAACAGAATATTTTATCCTAGAGGCAACAGAGAGTCAGTAGACCTCCAAACTCTAGCAAGGGAATGACATATTCAGACACATATTTTAGGAATATCAATCACTTTAGCAGGTATGTGGAGAATGTGCTAGAGAAGGGAGAAAGTGGAGGAAGGGAGATCAATTCAAAGGTTATTACAATAGTCCAGAAATTGTTAAAAAGAGCCTGAATTAGGGTGGTGCAAGTAGAAAAAAGAAAATGGATTTATGAGTCTACATGGAGGTAGAATTAATAAAACTTTGTCTCACTTTCATTGTTGATAAAAGTCCAATAATATATATGTATATATGTAAAATATATAATGATAATATATTATGTACATAAATAATATGGAACTGACACAAATATAAGACCAACATCTCCTTCCCCAGTGGACAAGTAGTAACAGAACACAAAAAAAAAAGTGTTAACTATCAATGACCATATTAAAAATGCTACAAAATCACTAATAAAAATGCAAATTAAAATAACTCTTGAGGTTTCAGCTCATACCCATCAAATTGGCTGAATCTAGGATGGGGAGAGACTTGAGGCAGGCAGATCTACCATCAGGCTATTGCAATAATCCAGGGATGAGATAATGAGGACCTGTACTAGTACAGAGGCAGTCAGAAAAGAGAAGGTAGTTAGAAGACCTATGAACTGGCCCAACCATTCAGGAAAACTATTTAGAATTATACCCCCAAATCATTAATTACATGCATCCTTTGACCCAGCAATACCAGGCATATACTGCAAAAAGGTCAAAAGAAAGCAGGAAAGGACCCAAGTTCACAAATACATTTATAGCCGCACTTTTTTCTTTAAATGGGGTCTGAAAAGTAACATCTAAGAGTCTGAGAAGGAGAAGAATCTTCCCTCTCCCTTCCTTAGCCTTTTCTTTTTAACTCATCTCATGATAGCAACAACAAAGGGCACTTAAACTATTATCAATCACAGAATCTAAGAGCTAGACCATAGAACCTTACAGATCATCTGTTCTAATCCATACCTATTCAAGAATTCTCTCTGTAACACCCCTTAAATAATCATCTAGGTTATGCTTTCTCCAATGAGCCAAGAATCTCCTATCTCCTACTTTTGAACAGCTCTACCTGTTAGGAAGTTTGTTTTACTTTTTTTTTTCCCAGAATAATTGGCCTTTGCTTCTAGTTCTACACTAGGACGAAGCAGAACAAGTTCAATTTTTTTTCCAAGAGACATCCTCAAATACTTAAGAACATCTACACATCCTCTTTAGGTCTTCTCTTCTCCCAGCTAATCATACCCAGTTCCTTCAACTGATCCTCATGTGGTATGTCTGTCCTTTCTCCATCCTGGTCACCCTCTTCCAAATACCCTCCACCTTGCCTACACATGTCTCAAAATATGGTATTCACGGCACTTGGTCACAGTTATTGTTTAGTCATTTTTCAGTGATGTCTGACTTTTCATGAACCCATTGGGGATTTTCTTGACAGAGATACTGGAGTGTTTTGCCATTTCCTTCTCCAGCTCATTTTACAGATGAGGAAACTGAGGCAAAGAGAGTTAAGTGACTTGCCCAGGGTCTCACACCTAGGAAGTGTCTGAGATTGGATTTGGATGGTCATTATCACTTAATTTAGCACATTCCCCATAATCTTCCTCATCTTAAAAGTATCTGTTGTACCTACTTGCTCACTCAATTGTAAGTTCCCTGCCTACTAACCTGTCCCCTGCACTCAGCATATGCTGGGCAATACAGTGAGAACTAAATAAATGATTGTTGATTCACTGATTAAACATTCTACATCCCAAAGCTACTAGCATACTGCAAAGACATTCTTTCTCAATGGATCCTAAGTTTTTCTAGGGAAGTTCCGGGACACTGTCTTGGGCTTCCTCCCAAGCTCATGTGAGAATTACACCTCCTCTAATCATTTTTCTTCTAAGAAGATCCTTACTGGATCAAGATATTCAGTAAATCAGTTCCAATCAGTTACTTAAATTTTCTGATTTGAAGTTTAAGTCTCTTCTAAAACAATTTTTAAGTTTCGTTGATCTTCCTTAACTCTTCTGAAAGCATCAGGGGCAGCCTGAGAGTTGGGGTGGAATCCCCAGCTCAGAGTCTGAAGAGCTATGTAATTCTGGGCTCTCTGAAACTCTCTGAACTTCAATTTCCTCACTACAAAATTAAGGAGGTGGACTTGGAGACCTCTAAAAATCTCTTCCAGGGCAGCTAGGTGGCACAGTGGATAGAGTCCTTGGAAGACATCTCCCTAAGTTCAAATCTGGCCTCAGACACTAGCTATGTGCCCCTGGGCAAGTCACTTAGCTCCGTTTGCCTCAGTTCCTCATCTATAAAATGACAAGTCACTCTAGTATCTTTGTCAAGTAAACCCTAAATGGGGTCACAAAGAGTTCGATACAACTGAAACGACTGAACAAGAAAAGTCTCTTCCAACTCTAAATCTAATGATTCCACAACCTACTAACCTTTTAACTCAATTTAGCAAAATTCAATCTCCATATAGTTATTTTAAGAGATCTGATAGACTCTACTGCCAATGAAGAGGAAAGATCCAGAACAAAAATTGTATCAAATTTTAACAGAAGCAACTGCTTCAAACCCTTAAAAAGTTAGCCATGGCTACCACTTTATAAAATTTTAAAGTGTCTACTTTAAAACTCAGGCCTTTCTAAATGATAATTCTGACTAGAGTTTCTTTCTTCTTAGATTAACAGCTCCTATAACTAAAAGAAAAAAGTTATTTGCTATAAAACCTTAAGTTATACCTGTCTTTTCTCACTACAACTCATCTAAGCTTTGCTATATACTAAGTAGAAGTTGAATGTGTAAATGAGAATTCACATCCAGGAACATTAATAATATATTCCACTATAAATCAACGAACGCTATATGTTTGAAATCAAATATAACAGGTCAAAATATTTTACAAATGCTG